TTCTTTGATCGTATATATCTACGTTAAATGCATTAAATAATGGAAAAAATGAAAATAAATTATTTTGTGGCCTAATGTTTGTTTCCAGGACACAAAGGAATCCTTATCCAAAATATTGTAATATTACCGATTATATACGTATATATTGATTATTGTTCTTATCAAAATTAAATAATATATTTCTTATCCTTCAATTGTATACAGGTGTTTAACATTTGTATACATCTGTTTCTTTTGTATATACGTTTAAATATGCAATTCCTATATGTATATACATAAGTTTTCCAGGACTGTCTTGGAAACTGCCATTTGACATATAATTCTTCCAGGTCAGGCCTGGAACCCTGCAAATGTCTCGGAATATGTCAATAAATGTCGGGAAGTGTCCCAGAATAAACCTTTTGACATATATATATATATATATATATATATATATATGCATATATACATACATACATACATATATTACATATACATATTGACTAAATAACTTAACTTAAATGCACCTTTGAAAACTATATTTGTTCTTTACATTATATGTGTCAAAGTTAGCTTCATACATTTTAAATTTAAATAAAAAAGATTTTTAAAGAGATGGAAAAATAGGGTGTCCCATAGGAAATTTTTGAAACTAACCAGCTGTCATTTCTTAGTTATTGAAAAAAACAAAAATTGTGTTGGAAAGAGGAAAGTCTGCAATTTTTAAGGGATATAAATAAAATGTTTGTATATTAGTTTATTTTATTGATAAAAAGTAATGAAAAAAGTGTAATAATCATATAAAATTACATAAACTAGAGATTTTTCAGGTAATCAATTTATAATATAATGTTTTATTATAATGAAATTCATAAAAGCAGTTCTACAAGTTTTTTTTTTTATTAGTCCTGTTTTCTTTTTTTAGCATTATATCAATTTTTAAAATATTATTTTAAACTAGTATACATTATTTTCTAATCATTTTTACATTTTTCTTTCAGGATGAAGTGAGAATGAAACACACTTGCACATCGATTACGCAACTAAATTATAAAACTCATCTGGCACATTTGTTGGACAAATTTCCAAGCTGGTATATATTGAAAAAGTTTAATAATCTAAGGAAGATTGCATACACATAAAAATTATTATAAGTTTATGTTTAAAACTTATTGATATTAATGTGCAATTTAATTTAAGTAAATTTTATATTTTTTATTTAAGGCAACTTCTTTTTTTGTTTTGCATTGTCTTTCATATTATCATATATATTCATAAGATTTTAAATTATAAAATAAAATTATGAAATGTACCCAAAGGGACAGAGTGAGAGATTGAATAAAAATATTTATATATTACATTAATATTATAATTAATTTAATATTATATTTTTTCTCCTAGAGTGATATCACAGAAAAGTATGATTAAAAATTTATACAAATTAATTTTTTATTATATCATATTTTGATATATTAAAATTGTCATATATAAGTACGCATAATATATAATATATATGTGAACGATTTGTAAAGTATATATATGTACATTTGTGTGCGTGTGCGTGCGCGTGTGCGTGCGCGTGTGCGTGTGCGTGCGTGCGTGCGTGCGTGCGTGCGTGCGTGCGTGCGTGCGTGCGTGCGTGCGTGCGTGCGTGCGTGCGTGCGTGTGCGTGCGTGCGCGTGCGCGTGTGCGTGCGTGCGTGCGTGCGTGCGTGCGTGCGTGCGTGCGTGCGTGCGTGCGTGCGTGCGTGCGTGCGTGCGTGCGTGCGTGCGTGCGTGCGTGCGTGCGTGTGCGTGCGTGCGTGTGCGTGTGCGTGTGTGTGCGTGTGTGTGTGTGTGTGTACTGTATACATATTGTTACGTCCGCGCGCACTCTTCGGGTTATCTCTCAGAAATGTCGCGCGCACTCAACTCTCACACGTCGGAAATGAATACACTCGCGTAGTAAAGCAATGAACTTTAATATAACAAGCCAAATACCGTAGCGATACAATATAATATAACGTGCATTAATTCTAATGCAATATGTCGGCCGATCAGCTGTCGGAGGATACGTCCTCACTGCACGACAGACAGACCAGAACAAACGTGACGATTAACATAAATAACTTCTTAGCGACGATAGAAGATCCTGATAGAAGACCCTGATAGAAAATCCTGACGATCGCAAAATACAGGGACGTATCGTCAAACGGGCGTAACACGGACAAACAATATGTATATGAGTTATTCCATGTCAAATTAGCCATCCCTCCCCGCCTAAAATTTTATTAAAGTAAATTTAATTTCCAAAATATCAAAATTTAGCTTGAAGCATTTAGTTTTTTATGCCGTGTGGCGATTTTGAAGAATGTTAAATAATGACCTTGATTTTAGTCAGTTTTATAAAAAATGGTATGCGATTTTCTTATTCAAATCTTGACTATTTCCTTACAAATAAAGTACAAAAGTCATTTTTAATGTAAGTAATTTGAATCCGCTGAATCCGAATCTGAAGTCAGATAAACAAAATTTATATTTTTGCAAATAAATAATTAGTTATTGATATATTTACTTCTAAAAAATGAAAATATGAATTATAATTTTATAAATGCTTTTTTCTCTTTTTACTACGACATTTCTGTGCTAGAATATTAACTAATTATCGTACAATTCCACATTTGGCAGTATTGCAATTATATTTTTAATATTTTATAAAAAAGCTTTCTGTGTGTTTATATAGCAAGATTAATATATTGTCTGTAGATTATTTTTCAAAGCTCCAAATTTTACATTTGATATAATAAAATTTTTTAAATTTAATTTAAAAAACTTAAAAACTAAAATTAAAAACTTAAAAATTTAAAAACTTAAAAATCCTGAAAATTTTTAAATTTTAAAAACGTAAAAATTCAGAAAAGAAAAAGTAATGCGGGTTTTAAAAAATATTTTACACCCAGACAGCACCAAGCCCAAAATTGGCGCATAAGATATCATTAAGAAATTTTTAAGACAGCTTTAAGAAATCTTATGATATGATATCCGAAAGACATCTTAAACATATTTTAAAGATATCTTATGCGCCGATTTTGGATTTGGTGCTGTTTGAGCAGACAACATTAACCCCGTATAAACGTAGAAAGCTTTTTCATAAAACCCATACAGCACAGATTATTGCAATTATATTGCAGCAACGTTGCAATGTTGCAAGTTGCAATGCAACATTATAAAGACATTGCAGAGATATAGGTGCACAAAATTCCAGCACACTTGTAGCAACATGACATTAATATTTCGGAAATATTGCATGTAATCCAAATTCTATAATTTATATATTGTAATATATATAAATTAATTACAACGTATTTTCATTAATGATTTATTTACATTTATATACCTGTATATGCAACATTAGTTTATGGTTGCAATAACAATGCATTATTGCAAATTCATAACATTGCAATATTGTTGTAATATTTTGTTGCAATCTTCCAAAAAGCGGACATTTTAACATTGCTGCAGTTCAACAGCAATGATGTAGCAAGCAACATTTTGCAGTGAATTTGCAATATTGCAATATTGCGGTGAAAGATTGTTGTAATGTTTTTGCAATCTATCGGTGCTGTATGGGAATATAAAAATATAATTGATACTGCCAAATGTGCAATTGTGCAGAATACGATAATTATCAGTACATTCTTTATTTTATATATGTATAATTGATTAATATTTTTGGAAAGCATCCTTTGTTTGCATAAGTCCTTAGGATACGTTTTCACCTGACGTTATAACATTACGTATATATCAGATATATGTATATACGAGGTACGGCAATAAAGAAACCGGACTCATGCTCTAATCCTTTATGAAAAAAAATCAGACAATTGAAATGTTGTCCCCTTCCCGATCCCTACACCGCTCCATGCGAATTTTCCATTTTTGGAAGCAATGCTGCAGGTCTTCTGTGTTATGCTGTTCAAGAGTTCCCATACAGCACCGATAGATTGCAAAAACATTACAACAATCTTTCACCGCAATATTGCAATATTGCAAATTCACTGCAAAATGTTGCTACATCATTGCTGTTGAATTGCAGTAATGTTAAAATGTCCGCTTTTTGGAAGATTGCAACAAAATATTACAACAATATTGCAATGTTATGAATTTGCAATAATGCATTGTTATTGCAACCATAAACTAATGTGCATATACAGGTATATAATGTAAATAAATCATTAATGAAAATACGTTGTAATTAATTTATATATATATTACAATATATAAATTATAGAATTTGGATTACATGCAATATTTCCGAAATATTAATGTCATGTTGCTACAAGTGTGCTGGAATTTTGTGCGCCTATATCTCTGCAATGTCTTTATAATGTTGCATTGCAACTTGCAACATTGCAACGTTGCTGCAATATAATTGCAATAATCTGTGCTGTATGGGTTGCGTCGCTTTTTTTTCACTCCATCCACGGACTCGAATCTGGTTCATTTGAGCGCAGATTTGACTTTCGGGAAGAGAAAAAAGTCGCACGGTGCTAGATCCGGCGAGTACAGTGGATGTTCCATCACTGGAATGTTGTTTGTCGTCAACTGCGCTCAAATGAACCAGATTCGAGTCCGTGGATGCAGTGAAAAAAAAAGCGACGCAACTCTTGAACAGCATAACACAAGAAGACCTGCAACACTACTGCTTCCAAAAATGAAAAATTCGCATGAAGCGGTGTAGGGATCGGGAAGGGGACTACATTGAAGGGAACAACATTTCAATTGTCTGATTTTTTTTCAATAAAAGATTAGAGCATGAGTTCGGTTTCTTTATTGCCACACCTCGTATATATATATATAAAATAAACAAAAACTATATATGTTTTCTTTACATCAATTAATTTCTTCCATTTTTTATTTATATTTTATACATAAAAGTAAAGAAAACATATATAGTTTATTTATTTTAAAAATGACCACTGCATTTTTTTTGACATCTGACGCGCATGCGCGAAAAAGTGATCGGGCGTCAGATGTCGGATCTCAAATCACATGTCACATGGTTTCTCTCTGTTGGAATGTCTAAATTCAAATCCTACTTCGTTAAAATTAGATTCGGGATCTTTCTCTCTCTTAAGTGGGTTTCAGTCTCCACTAAATAAAATTTCACAGACTTTAAATTTTCATTTCGTAATTTATCGGCGTAATAATTCCGCTTAATTTCAAATGAGAAGATAACGAAAAGTAGAGGTTAGCTGGATTCCTCGATTCTGATTCCTTTTTTAAATAAGCAAAATGTCAAAAGCTGTCAACCAAACGAATCAAGTCGAAGAAGGACTGAACGAGGCTGAGGAGGAAAATTGCAAAAACTGTGGACAAGCATGCGATCCTTATAATAAACCGTCCTTACGTTGCAGCGGCGGATGCGATAAGAGGATACACATAGAATGTTTGAAGAGAGGCGGCGTCCCGGTGTCTTTCGTAGGAGACGTTTTCTTCGAGCTCAATTGCACTTCTTGCAATCCCTCAGGCGAGGAAACGGTCGTGCGCGACAAAATGCCATGGCTCAGTGCCATCATTCTGACCCTTTACAATCTCCGTGAAAAGTCAAGCGGCATCAGTAAAAGAGGATACTTTCACTGGAAATCCGATGTCAGTACTTTCGTGGACAGAAACTGGGATTATTTGTTCAAGAAGACTGTGTAGGTATTCCACATTGTCGTATCAGTTTATTTTGCACATGAAAGGACTTCGCACAATCCTTATAGAAATTGGATTCGGTGGAATTGTCTGGTTTCTTCATATATTTGTGATCTATTGCACAAAAATTGTAATGGCTTCAAAGCTAAATAATAGTTACTGAGTTAATATCGGTTAAACAACTCGCAGAGCCCAAAATCTTGCACAATCCTTATGAAAATTAGATTTTGATGGAATTGTCTGGTTTTTTCATATATTATAGTTTGTGACCTATTGAACAAAAGATATGATAGCTTCAAAACTAAATAATAGACAGTTACTGAGTTACAATTAGTTAACGCAGAACCCAAAAGGACTGCGCAATCCTTATAGAAATTGAATTTTGATGGAATTGGCTGATTTTTTCATATATTGTAATTTGTGATCTGTTGAACAAAAAATGTAATAGCTTCAAAGCTAAATAATAGACAGTTATTGATTTACAATCAGTCAAATAATTCGCGGAACCTAAGAGGACCCTAAACAGTTCTTATGAAAGTCGAGTTTCGATGGAATTGATTGGTTTTTCATATATTGTAGGTTATGAAAAATTTGGATTCTGCGAGTTGTTTGAGTGTCCGTAACTCAATAACTCTTCATTTATTTAGTTTTGAAGCTATTACGTCTTTTGTTCAACAGATCATAAGCTGTAAAGTATGAAAAAAATCAATCTGTTCAACTAAAATTCGATTTCCATAAGGATTGTGCAGGGTCCTGTAATATTTTAACAAATAATTTTAATTTAATATTTAAAAATAATAAATTTAATATTTTAAAAATAGATTTAATATTTTAATGTAATTTTATTTATTTTAATCATATTTTAATTCTTTAATTTATTATTTTCATAGCAAAAGAAGCAAGAATTGGATAATGATTTGATTATATTAATATAAATTCAATATTTTAATATTTTAATTTAATATTTTACTTTAGGAAAAGAAAGAAGAATTGGATTGGTACTATATCTGGTACACTGTCCCATTACAGTGGAATTGTTTTCAAGTCTGGGACCAATGAATTAGGGGAGTCTGGATGGTGGAAATTATTGGACAATGATCCACCTGAAATTTTAATCGCTAAAAGTAATATAATACTGAAATTGTATAGTACATATGTAATTTGTGGAGAGCATCAGTAACAATATAATCTTTATTTTCACAGATAACAAAATGTTAAGTGATAGAAAGAAGCAACCGGGTTCAAAACTACCTTCCAAATTATTGGACAGTCCTGCGCCGTCAGATTCCAGCATCTCTGTTGGGGAGGATAGCAATTGCAGTGGGGAATTGTTCAAGAACAAAGGTTCATCGATATATTCCCATGCATATGTTCAACCTACAGAGACATTGTCTGATTTTCTACTCGAAGAGGACGAACCAAATGGTATACATAATAAACAAGTGAAATGCACAAATGCCGCGGAGGTTATTTTTTGTTTTTTTAAGAGAATTATTTTTAAACAATAATTAATAATAGGCTATGAAGAGCTAGGAAGGAAGAACGCAAATGATCATGAATAAAAATATTAAGTACATAGATCATAAATTCGTAAAAATTAATTTATAAAGAATGTCGTACGTTTCAGTCCTTTTTTTGGACCATCTTCAGTGTATGTAACAAAAAATGAGTACAGAATTATATTTTGTAGACATGGATAACGAGGATGACATAATGTTAAACGATGAGAGCGAGGTTCCGTCTATCTCCGATTTAATAAACGATTGCCAATACGGGAACAATTTTCACTTGGCACAGCTGATGGATAACTGTGATTGGTTGGACAATACAAGTTTCTCGTCGCCAAAATATACCGGTGATGAAGTTAAAACGATAGAAGAAGGATACGATGAAGACAGCAGTGATAGTCCGGTCTCCATACGAGAGCAGCCTCCAGTTTCCTTGTTTAAAGAAGCGAAACGCCGTCAACGACCTTGGTCTAAGTCGTTCGTCGCTCCTAGTAATTATTTTTTCATCAAACTGCATATACAGGGTGTCCTATAGAAAATTGCTGAAACTAATCCACTGTCATTTTTTAATGCATGCAGTTATTGAGAAAACAAAAATTGTGTTGAAAAGAAGAAAGTCTACAGTTTTTAATGGATATAAATAAAATGTTTGTATACTAGTTTATTTTATCGATAAAAAATAAAAAGTAATGAAAAAAGTGCTAATAATCACATAAAATCACAAACTGATGATAAATATTTTCAACGGTGTCAGATTTAATAGCAGTTATTAAAAGGATCGCCAATAATATATTAAATAACATATTAAAAATGACATGCATTATATGATAACATTAAAATGACAGTTTATTAGTTTCAGCAATTTTCTATGGAATCCCCTGTATGTGGTGCAAAATCCTATATTTATAATTAAATAAAGGGGAAAAGGACAGCAAGACCTGCCTTTTTTCTTTCTATTTCTTCATCATTACAAAAGCTTTATGTAATTAATTTAGTATTTTAATCTACAGTTATATATTGTGCATATTTCAGATGATAAAATACCGCGCATAACTTATCAGGAAGAGGCATATTTACTGCAAAAAATTAATAAGACCGATCTCTCGAGAGCTCCGGCCGCTGTTAAAAGATTGTATAGAAAATTGGCGGTGCGAAAAATAAAAAGGGAATACCGGCTCCCTTTGTTGGACATCGATCGTTTTGGATCCAAGCCTACATCTGTGATATTGAAAGATAATGGACGAGTGTTGGATCGCTTTTTCAACGATAATCTGGGATGCGTCTTCGAACAAAGATTGCAAGGTTACAATCAGCCTACATCTGTACACAGCCCGTACACAAATAGACTTTTGAAGCCATTTATAAGGCGAGATACCTCTTGTCGACCATTGTGGTTAAGGATCATGGAAGAACTGCTCATGAAAACAAATAAAAACAATCCAGAATGGAAACCACAGCCAAGAGCTTCCATCGATTATTCTTACATCAGACCGCAACACATTCCTGCGATCAACAGTCTTTGTAATCAATTCTTTTGGCCCGATATAGATCGTAAGTAGATATTTTACTTGTCTACATTGTCGTATACAAGATGCAAAAAAGTTGGGACTCCGATATATATCGAAAAATATAAATTTTATAAGAAACTGTTATAAGGAAGTTTATAAGAAAATTGTTTTTATTTAAAAATAGCTAAGAATTTTCAGTGTGCACTTTGAAAAATTGTTAACTTCAAACCATAATAATTCAAAAAGTACTTAAGAGAAAAATATTGTATTAGTGTTTTAGAAAGCTCTCGAGATAAGCTACAAAAATATATAATGAAAAATAGTAGGTTTTATTTAAGAAATTGACGGTCAAATGATTATACCAGGTCAAATTAAATGACACCATCTTATGTCCCCCTCAAAGTCAAACAATTTAAAAACTTTTTTGTATCTCTTATAGTTTTCGAAATATTTGCTTGAGGCGATTAAAATAAATCACCCATTTTTAATCCTAATTGATTAATCCTGAGACTGTATACATCTAAAATATTATACTTTGTTTTAGTGACAGAGTGTTTGCAATACCCAGATTTTACGTGCGTCGTCTTGTACAAGAAGTTGGTCATAGGATTTGCGATATTAGTACCTTACGTAAGCTACAACGAGTCCTATATCTCGTTCATCCTGACACGTCCGGAGTGGCAGAAATCTGGCATCGGCACATTTATGTTGTACCATCTGATACAAACCTGTATGGGACAGGATGTCACTCTACATGTGTCGGTCACCAATCCTGCCTTAATACTGTACCAGAAGTTTGGCTTCAAAGTGGAAGAATTCATTCAAGATTTTTATGACAAATATATGCCGTCGAATTCACGAGAATGTAGACACGCTCTGTTCTTACGTTTAAACAGATAATTAATGATTTAAATCTTATTAACTAAAAGAGACTTTAGTGAGGCTCTTTAAGATGCAAAATTAAATGAAAAATTAATTTTCGTCGAAACTGAGTTGTATGCAAGAAGCAAATTTTCATCGGTACGAAAAACCAAGGTAATTTAATGAATCTCAATTCGAGATTTTATTTTTAATAAATCTCTGACTAAAATCTTGTTAATTCACCACACAAAATTCCTTTTATTTTTATAAAATACACCTTATTCTTTTCATTTAATTTGTTTTCAATATTCTCCCTCTTTTTGTGTTCTCCAAATATTAACGAAAATAAATCCCTATGTACAATAAAGAAAAATATTAAAAATAGGAATTAATATTAAATATTTGAAATAAGAATTTTAGGAACGAAAATGACGTAATAATTAAATATTAAATATAACTCATTCAATCATGGCGGCCGATCATCACAAAATACACTTTACATATACAGTTTAAATACAAATACAGTTTACAAAGAAAAAAAATCTTTAGAATATTGTTTTCAAAAATTATTTTAAAAATTTAATTTTTAAACGTCTAAAAAATATTTTCTATTTCTTGTAGAGATTATTGTAATATAAAATTAAAAAAATAAATATCTCTTAATTATTTTAAAATAAATATCTCTTAGTGTTATTAATTAACGTTATTCTGGAGTTAAAAAGGGTTTTTAAAACTGTTTTTATTTAGAAATTAAAAAATTTTTCTAAAAAATTATATGTTTTTGATATCATTCTCAAGCAATAAAAAAAGAACTGCATCATTTTTAAACTCTCACAAAAGTTAAAAATTCATCTAGATTATCTTTTTGTAAATTTATAGGACGAATCTATCAGTGTTTATTTCTTCAAAATTTGTTTCTTTTTCTGTTTAATATAAGTAAAAATCCTATTAATTATATAAAATGTAAGTGATAATAAAAATGTTGCTCTAGAATCTAGAATTAGAAATTTTCTTGTACTGCATTTAATAATATTTAAGTTTATATCCCAGGTAGCAAATGTACATAATTTTAACGTTGAATGATATCATTAAACGTCAAAATGATGTCATTTTAACGTTTAATGACGTCAGTTTGCTACTTGGGATAATTTAACTTCTAAGCTAAAATACTAATATTTATATTTTTATATAAATATAATATATAATATAATAATTTTATGAATATAAATTACAAATATTTTTAAATAAATATTTATAATATAATCTAAATATAATATTTTTTTTAATATATATAAATAATATATTTTATAAAAACGTAGATATTTGAGAATCGCCAGACAGAATTTAAAAAAGTAAAACTCTTCTCTCGACCGTACTGGCAAATATTATTTATTAAATCACAACGTTTCGACCCTTCTTTGAGTCCTTATCAAGTGATCTAGATATACATAGAGAAGAAATACAGTACAGAGATTAATACAATAAAAAAATTACTTTACTTAACAATATTACAAAATAATAAAAAGAAGCGAAACATACTTGTGAAAATAAAAATAAAATTATAATTTTAAGATGTCAAGAACGAATTATAGTGTCGGTTTGACAACACGTCAAGACTCTTAGACGAGTTATGAGAGACTAAACGACCTTTATTATTTTGTCGTAGATATTATTTAAATTGTCGGTATCCTTTTGTAAGTTAATAGCGTTATTATTTTTCTTAATAAAAAACATTTCAGCGATTTCTCTTTTTTCTATGTGTTTTTCACTGTGCAAAATAACAGGCGAAGTCCAGTCAAAATCGCGATCGAATTCAATTTTATGTTTGCTGATAACTGATAAATTACTCGAATGCATTTTGATGTTGCTGAAATGTTCCTTTACACGTGTACATAGATGTCTCTTTGTTTGTCCGATGTATGACACGTTGCAATCATCACAATTAATTTCGTAAACTACTTCAGTCTTTTTATCTGTAGGGAGTCTATCCTTGCCGAGTGTAATTAAATGATTCGGTTTTTTAGGAACATTATGAACAACATTAAATCCGATATTTTTAAAAATTCGATCGATATCGCCTAAGCTATTAACATAAGGTAGTGAAATGAAAGGAGATTTATCAACAATATTTCGCTCATTACTCGATTCATTCATGTTTCTGTGTTTTAAAAAATTAATCCTTTTATTAACCCAACGATCAATTACATGTTTAGGAAAGCAGTTATTAATATATTTTTATATAAATAAATATTTCGATTGCACGACATAATTCTTATATTTTCATATTTTATTCTTTTTCATTAAGTGTTACGTTCAATTTTTATTTCTATAAAAAAATTTCCTATTCGTAATATCTAATATTTTTTTTTGTTTGCAGGACCTAAAGACCTGAAGGAGGGAAGATGACAGAGATTTGACGTTGGCGCCAAAACATGTCGGCTGTTTGACGTCATCGGCTACGTCGCGCTGCGGAACTGGCGTCGATTCATTCTCGAAAGTTCCGGAAGCTGCTAGATGGAAAGTTTATATATATGGACTGCGGGTTACGCGACAGTTCAGTACGTGACCCAGTAGTATCGAGTGTCCTTTGGCGAGAGAGATCGGGAAATCGGTGAATGTTCTTTGTCAAGTTTCGCGAGGACACAAGAAAGAGCCTGGCTTTTGTACTTTTAAGTGTCTATACACGTGAAACGTGCTTTAAAAATTCTACTATCACGAAATAATTTATATAAAGTAAGTATAAGAAGGAGGAAGGAAGGAGTCCTAATACCGCGTAACCTTGCTTAGGTTTCGCAAAAAAATTCGAATTAAATATAACAAATATTTTTATAAATAATTTATGTGCTGAAATATCCAATCCAGAAAAAAATATAAGGAGACGACACGTTCGGAGAGCTCTCCTGGTTCGGGTGGGGTATTTATTTTTGCGTTGCAGCTCGAATCGTGAATCGCTTGAAACATTCGTCGTGTATTCGCGGTCATCATTGCCAGAAATAGATATCGGTGATATATATACGTGGGTGTATATATTGGAGGCTCCCTGTGCTTCTCCACCTTTCGACGAAATTCTACGAGAAGAGAAAAAAAATGGCAGAAAATTTAACCATAAATACGTCGCGTCGCGACGATTCTAGTACATTCCTATTATAAGCACACACATACACACACAGACGAGTGCTTGTGTGTCCATGAGACATACACTCGAAAGCATATATAACGTTTCTTTTTATTTTTCCTTATTTTTTTTTAATTTTCCTTACCGATACCCTTTTTTGACATATCGAGGATTTTGTTCGCGTAGAAATATAATAATAATAATAATAATAATAATAATAATAATAATAATAATAATAGTAATAATAATAAATATAATAATAATAATAATGATGATAATAATAACATAATAATATATAATAATAATGATAATAATAATAGTTTTTATAATAATAGTTAAGTTGAATGGGATCTGTCAACCTCAGACTTAATATCTTAAATATAAGATCGGACTATGAATGACAAACATTTGTATTTAAAGACTGTATGACACACACATACATATACAAAGTGTCCCAAAATTACCAGGCACCAATAATTTTCAAGTTGTGATTGAAAATAAAGGGTTCTTCGTAAACAAAGCCTTGTGGAAATAAAATACTAACAAAACTGTATTCTTTAGTTAATTTTAAGTAGAGCTTACTTTAATATAATTATATAATTTAAGAATTAATTACAAAGATACATGATGGCAAAAATTAGGATATGCAAGAAAATGACTTTCCTCGTGTTTTTGCTGAGGAAAAATTATCTCGAAATAATTTTAGGAATTTCCTATTAATAGGATGTCTGGTAATTTTGGAACACCCTGTATACCTGTATCAGATCAGACCAACAGGATTCTGCACACTCCTTATGGAGACTGAATTTCAGTGAAATTGACTGATTTCTTTATGTATTGTAGCTTGTGAGCTGCTAAACGAAAGATGTGATAGCTTCAGAGCTAAATAATGGAAATTGTTGAGTTACAATCAATCAAACAACTCATCCAAATTTTTCATGTTTAACTAGATGTAAATCAGTAACTATTTATTATTTAACTTTGAGTCTGTTATATTTTTGTTCAACAGATACAACATATGAGAAAGCAAGTTGATTTTATATTAAGATTCAATATTATATGGAATTAATTGTAGATAAGGAATTTTTGAATTTATATGAAATCCTAGATGAAATTGAAATATCGACATACAACATGATATCGATATACAACATATGAAAAAAATCAGCTAATTCCACCAAAATCCAATTTCCATAAGGATTGTGCAGTCCTTTTATTGGTCTCTTCTCCTTTGTTTTGTTCAATATTTCTTCTTTTATTAATAGTTTTTTAAAAGACAAGTAAAATCCTAAAATATATTGATGTTTTAACATTAAAGCGATTAATGACTACAATTATTCTAATACTGATCTTTCAAAATATAAAAAGAAAATATTTCAGTAAAATTAAAAAAAAAAAAATATATATATATATATATATATATATAAAAATTAAGAAGAAATATGAATATTTGTGATGAGAATTGTATATAAAATTATATATAATTATATGAAATTAAATAAAATATATAAAAAATTATATATAATCGTATAATAAAAAATACGTTTTGATATTGTTTCAGAAATCATAGAAGCGAAGTAGAAGGAAAATGGGGAAGGATTACTACAAAATACTTGGCATAGCCAAAGGAGCGAGCGACGAGGAGATCAAGAAGGCTTACAGGAAGCTGGCCTTACGATATCATCCGGATAAGAACAGGAGCCCCGGTGCCGAGGAGAAGTTCAAGGAGATCGCCGAGGCGTACGAGGTGCTGTCGGACGCGAAAAAGAGGGAGGTGTACGACAAATTCGGCGAGGAGGGTCTGAAGGGTGGTGCCTCTACTGGCGGAGGCGGGGGAGGTGCCACATACACCTTCCACGGGGATCCCAGGGCGACCTTCGCTCAATTCTTTGGCTCGGCCAGTCCATTTCACAATCTGTTCGAGTTCGCCGGGAATCGCGGCGGAGGCTTCAGCTTCCATGAAGACGACATGGACATCGACATGGACCCCTTCGGCCTCGGGATGGGACCACCGCGACAGGGTGGCGCCTTCAGATCGCACTCGTTCAACTTCGCGAGCCCGAACACCGGCAAGGCTGCCGGCAAGGATCGCGCCCAGGATCCAGCGATCGAGCACGACCTGTACATCAGTCTGGAAGAGATTCTGCGCGGCTGCACGAAGAAGATGAAGATATGCAGACGGGCGATACAGCCAGACGGTAGCACCAAGAAGGAGGACAAACTGCTGACGATCAACGTGAAGCCAGGCTGGAAGGCCGGCACCAAGATCACGTTTCAGAAGGAGGGCGACCAGTCGCCGAGGCGGGAACCGGCGGACATCGTTTTCATCATCAGGGATAAACCTCATCCGTTGTTCAGGAGAGAAGGCAGTGACATTAGGTACACGTGTAAATTGAGCCTGAAGCAGGCTCTATGCGGCACCATCGTCGAAGTTCCTACGTTGACTGGCGAGAAGATACCCTTGAATCTGACGAGAGAGATCATCAAGCCGAACACAGTCAAGAGGTTCCAGGGCCACGGTCTACCTTTCCCCAAGGAGCCGTCGCGAAAGGGTGACTTGCTCGTGTCGTTCGATATTAAGTTCCCGGAAAATCTGACGCAAAGTGCTAAAGATATATTGTATGACACGCTACCCAATTGAGCTCGAACATAAAATTACGATTAAAAAGATAAAAAAAACCAGTATGATGTAAGAAAATATCAGTAATTGGACATCTTTAATCGTCCCGATCGACGAGATTATGATATACATATACATATATATATACACATACATATATATATACACATACATACATATATACACACACACACACGCACACACACATATATGTGTGTGTGTGTGTGTGTGTGTGTGTGTGTGTGTGTGTGTGTGTGTGTGTGTGTGTGTGTGTGTGTGTGTGTGTGTGTGTGTGTGTGTGTGTGTGTGTGTGTGTGTGTGTGTGTGTACGTCTCGTGTGCGTTCTAGTACATAGAGACCTGGGGTATATCCAGCGACGATGACGATAACAAATACGACAAAACGATCGAGAAAGAAAGAACAATTAAATGTATATCTTGCTCGTAGAGGCCAAATTAAAAATAAATGTTTTATTTTCTCTTCGACGTTGCGTCAATGTTGGACAAGTTCGGATTGAGATTCGACGAATTGGCGTTTTTCTGTCTACAGCAGCCTCTACGCGCCCAACGATAGCCCAATTGATTGACTAAAGACGATTATATATATATATATAAAATATATATATATATATATATATTAAATTATAGAATTATAGAGAGAAATTATTATTAATATTATTATTATTATTATTATTATATTATTATTATTATTATTATTATTATTATTATTATTATTATTATTATTATTATTATTATTATTCTTATTTATTATTATTATTATTATTATTATTATTATTATTATTATTATTATTATTATTATTATTATTATTATTATTATTATTATTATTATTATTATTATTATTATTATTATTGTCGCTGATATATTGTGTGATCGCGTCTGGATCTTTGTTTCCTCTATTATATACGTATGTGTGCATGGGTGTATGTGTGATAGAGAGATGCATGTGTGAAGGTATGTACGAAGGTTGTAAGGCAATGTAAAAGAGCACTGCAATGTCAGAAACTTGTGCGTTTCATTTAATCAAGGTTCGTGTACTCGCGGCAAATAATAGAGGCATTTACAGACTCGTACACAGATACAATGATAATGGATGATGCGAGTCTATATGTACACCTATACATATGCAGAGCGATGCGGAAGCATATATAAGTCGAGTCAATCGAAAATCGAGGAGTAAAATAATGAAAGACAAAAGTTTTTGAATATTGCGCGATGGGTGGTCTTGTAAATATGCATTGTTTCATTTTCTTTTGTTCGTACACACACTTTGTCTAATAGAGGAAAAATCATACTTGTTTATATTAAGTATTAAGGCAAATTATAATTAAGGCCCGATCGTTCAACTGATCGTCCCGTTATGTAACGTGCTCCTAAGTTTAACAGTTTATTAATTATTTGTATACAAATTAATATGAGAATTATTAAGAGTTATATATACGTATTTTTTCTTTATTGCCTTCAATTTTCCGTTTCGTTCCTAAGAAAAAATTCTTAATCAATTTCCTTCCTCTCGAAACACCACGAAACTTTCTTCGTAGTATAATATATTTTGTATAATAACGAGTTTTTCCTCATAAAGAGTATTAAATATACTCATTATTTTATGTGAGAGATAACACGGATCGAGATTAAACCCGAAATCTACCAATTATGAGGCGACTGCTCTATCAACTGAGCTATCCGGCTCTCGTTTCGCTCCTATATAAATATGAATATATAACCCTCGGGACAGTCTTAAAATAAATGATGAAGTGGGAGAGGAGAGGAATGACGTCATCACTCCCCCCCCCCTGCTCTTCCGACACTTTCCCGTCCCATATGGAACCGAGAGAGCGTAACATTCTACGTCATATTCCCCTCCCCGGAAACATGTCAAGTGATAATTTTACTGATTCATTCTCTTTTTCCTTCGCCTCGTTTATTGGTAAGCAATTTTGCCCGTCTGTCAAGGAAATTTAGCAACCTGATTTCGGTTAAATCAGCTGGTTTTTCCATGTTGTAGCTTATGACCTACTAAACAGTCTCAAAGCTAAATAATGAACAATTGAGTTACAATCAGTCAAACAGCTTGCAAAGCCCGATTTTTTCATGTTTGACTTATTGTAAATCAATAACTGTTTATTATTTAGCTTTGAGCCTATTACATTTTTTGTTTAGTAGATCATAAGTTATAACATGAAAAAGCCAGCTGATTTTATCGGAATTCAATTTCATGCAAATTCAAATTTTGCACTAATCCTATAAAATTGAATCTTAATATAAAGTCAACTCGTTTTCCCATTGAAGCTTATGACCTGTTGAACAAAAACTGTAATAGCTTCAAAGCTAAATAATATAATAGACAAAAAAGTTATATTAATTTACAGTCAATATATCAATCACGAAAAGTTCAAATTCTGTGAATTGTTTGACTATCCATTATTTATAGCTTTGAGGCTGTTACATCTTTTGTTCAACAGGTTATAAAAGCTACAATATTGAAAAAGCCAGCTGATTTCATCGAAATCCTTTTTACATAAGATAGTACAGAGTTTTTACTTTTACACACATGTATATAGAGGAGGGGAATAAATAAAAATGTCAAAATTTTTGGATTCGCGAAACTCTTCTCTTGAAATAGAATAATCACATATTCAAGAAAGAAGAAGAAATTAAGAAGTCATGGAAAAGCCCGCTTCGAATGCGGGTAATTCGATGTAATCCTTGTCGATCCACTCATCTTCGCTAGGCGGAGGAGTGCCACGTGACACGGAAGTCAACAAGGGCAAACCATTCGGACCTGGTGTCTTGAGATACTTGACGAGTCGGTCGATCAATCCTAACTGATTTCCCGCATTTTGCGGCCCCAATTCCTCCTCGTACCGATGATAATAATCCATCCTCGGTCTCGCTTTTTTGCCGAACACAAAGTGCTCCGGCAGACAGTGATGCTGACGGCAAAAGTAATCTCGGCCCCCCTCGGCGTAGCACCACGTGCCATCGGGTAGATAGGGGTCGAGGCCGAGATCGTTCAGTTCTACGCGCGGCGCGTAATAAGCGGCGATGTCTCTTCGTCGGCAAAATATCGCGCAGGCTATCCAGGGTAAATCAGCCTCATGATCGACCTGCAAACCCTTGGCCGAGCCGTCCAGTTCCGGCAGTTTCTCGCTAAAGAGGCGGCACTTCAGCGTGGCAAATTCGATGACGGTTGTTCTGCGTTTCTTTCGGCAAAGCTTCTCGTCGTTGCACAAAAGTACGTTGTAGTACGACCCTTTGCAACTCGTTACCGGCTTGTGATCCCGATTTTCGCAAAAGCGTCGTCTAACACGAACTCCTTTGGACCGTTCCAGGCAGCCACTGCTGCAGGAATCTTCCTTCCACTCGCTCCAGCTACCCTTTTCGCTGTTGGACGATTGTTCCAGAACGGGCATGCATTCTCCGCCACGACATTCCCTGCCGGGTGCGCAGTGAGTTCCTGGAAGAAAAAAAAATTTTTTAAATGAGTCAGCTTCACCGAATATGAAGCCATTTCTGATCCCAAGTAAACTGACGTCATTAAACGGCAAAATGACATTATTAAATGTCAAAATGACATTATGACGTTATGAGACGTCAAAATGACGTACGCTTGCTGTCTGTATATATATATATATATATATATATATATATATATATATATATATATATATATTTAACGCGGAGAAAGATATGCTAATACCATCCAGAGCCGGTCCCGCGAAGTAATATCCGCTCCTTCGAGGTGTCTCGCATTGGAGAGACTGACAAGATTGGTACAATGTGACGACATTCGCGTCCTTGTCGCGTAGGAGTAGCTCGCATTGCCTCTTGGCCGTCCATTCTCTTCCGGGTAGGTCACGATACCGCGAATAATGGTCGTACTCGTGCGCAGGCGCGTCCGAGGTGTTTCGTGACTCGGGCCAATCTAGGAGACAAGGCTTCGTTTGCGAGAGCGTCTCGGCTATCTTCCGGCTACAGTCGGACCACACCGTCTCACCTCGAACACCCCTACTGGGAGACATTATGTATCCGTCCTTCGGGCAGGCGTTGCCACTCGAGTCGTGATGCATTCCTAAACTTTCAAATATGGATCAGGTCATCTCTCGTTTCTTTTGGGAGGTGAATATCTTAGGAGGAGGAAAAAGTCATCCATGCGTACAGGGTGTAACTGGAAAAACATATATGGAGCACAATACATCAGATTCTGTGGCCAATTTGGAAACGATTTTTCTGCTTCAGCGAAAATGTCAAAGGAAGTCATTTTTTTATGTTCTTAAATTTTGTTGGCATATCTTATCTTTTGTTAACTATAATAAACCTTAAATTAATAAATTTCATTAAAGTAAACTCTACCTAAAATTAACTGAAGAATGTAATTATGTTAATATTTTAAAATCTACAAAGTTTAGTTCGTGAGAAGCTCATATCTTTTTCAATATCATTGATAAATTGAAAATTATTGGTGCCTCAACATTTTTATGAGGAAAAATCGTCTTTAAATTGATCAGAGAATTTGATTCTTAGTGCTCCGTGTCTGTTTGTTGTACCCTGCATAATTAAAATAAATATGTATATAAAATTATATATACAAAATACATATGTCCATAAAGTGTGTCTTCTATTTTTTAAACAACTATATACAGGGTGTCCGGTCGTTCTCATATCACCTCTTGTAGGCAGATAGAATAGGTCAAACCGAGTAGAAAAGTCCTTTACCATTTTGCGAAATTCTCAATAGTTAATGAGAAATTAATTGAAAAATCATCGGCCAATTCGCGCCTACAAGCGCACGTGGCGAATAGAAACAGCCCATTTGGAGGTCCAGCTTATTATCTTTTGTCGGTTATTATCTTTTGCGTTTGTGTATTATAGAGCACGCAAATTGGCCGATTTTTATAAATTAATTTTTCATTAATTATAATTAATTATTGAGAATTTGCAAAATAGTAGAGAACTTTTCTACTCGGTTTGACCCACTCTACCTGCCCACGAGAAGTGAAACGCGAACGACCAGACACCCTGTAGATGTGTTTTTTTTTTTTAATTTGTTCCTCTTCTTATTTTGTGCATAAAAATATTGAGATGAGATAATCAAAAATGAATATTTTACGAGATATTATATAATAGTTTACATGTAAAACATATGTTACATTTAAAGTATAAAATATTTTGTAAATTAATTATTTAGCCATCCTGCGCAAAGCAAAGTGATGCAAAATAACGTCATTTTGACGTTCAATATGACGTCAATTTGCTATCTGCTATATAATCCTTACTTTTATCTATGCACATCCTAATAGTACACATATCCCGAAGACGTTTAGAGAACATCCTAAGAATAATAATATATGAATTTTAAATCGGCCAATAGAGCTCAAGCGCGAAAAATTAATTCTTCGGAACTGTATCTCTTGGTTGAGATTACTAAGTTCCATATATAAATTAATCTCCAACTTACATATGGAGAATTAACATATTTCTTATCTGATTTTATTTACGCCTGAACCTAATCATGGCGTTATTTACTAACATCTACTAAAGGCAAAATGAAAAATATAGAATCAAAAGGGTCTGAATAGCTTAGTTGGTAAGAGCAGTCGCCCGGAAAGTGAAAAACGCGGGTTCGATTCCCGCTTCAGCGACTTTTCGGATCTATATTTTTCTCCATATGTAAGTTGGAGATTAATTTATATATGGAACTTAGTAATCTCAAACCAAGAGATACAGTTCCGAAGAATTAATTTTTCGTGCTTGGGCTCTATTGGCCGATTTAAAATTCATATATTATTATTATTATTAATATTGAGAGCCGACATATATTTCTTATCTGATCCTAAGAATGTTTGAATATCCTCTGGATATCCTCTGAATATCTTTCGGATATGTTGTGCTATTAGGGGCACATATGTATATGGAGTTCTTTCTTCCTGGTTTTTCTAACTCTCTTTAAAGAATAACTTACTTATGACCGATTTCGTGAGCAGCGATGAAAACCGACGTAAATCCCGCGGATGGATATGGTTTCCCGAGCTGATCGGTGACCCCCAATTCCGCAATCACGCAGGAATAGAGCGGAATGCAAAGACCACCGACGGTGGCCAATCCCATGGTGGCCCTGTTCCTCTTCCCGTCCTCGAGGGCGTAAAGATCCAATCCGGTCACGTAGAGAGCCATGTCCCAATGACGCGGATCGTCATCCTCGGCGGGATTCCGCGCGCTCGCGTAATGGCAAAACGAATCCAAGAGACCTCCTCGTTCGCCACCGAAGTGCGGCAAATCGAAGGGCTGTCTCTGAATAACGTCCAGGCGTATCAGCGAGATGTCGATCGGGACTCCCAGACTCGGATGACGGTACAACGCTTGAACGCCGTTCACGTACGCCAGCAACATGTCGCGAATCTTCTCGTCGTCCTCGTCTAGAAAGGGCGAAAACAGACGATACGCCGCCTCGTCGAAGAAGACGGCCAGCTCCAACGTCAATCGCTCATCTTTCGCGAGTCTGGCTCGCTTTGAATGAGTCTCTTGGAGACTTGGAACTCGGAGACTGAGTGATCGTTTGACTACATGAGGCTCGCCGATAGAGGCGGCTTCTTTTTTATTAATATAACGATCGTCAACGAGCAAGGGCGAGGACTTCAGGCCGTTTCGTAATGGTGTAATCTCCAACGTAACGTTCTCCAGAAAGATGAGCCCGTGCTACTTCCAACAAAGATACATATATATTATTTTTAATACTATGTATACTGATGAGAGATATCCCAAGTAGCAAACTGACGTCATTTTGACGTCGAATAACGTCATTAAACGTAGAATGACGTCAATAAACGGAGAATGACGTCATTAAACGTCGAATATCATTTTGACGTCGAATGACATCATTAAACGTCAAAATGACACATATGCAGAATTGCATTGGGTAATAACTAGTTAATTAGTTAAAAGTTAAAAAATAGTTAAAAAGTTAATAATTTTTAATTTAACTTAGTTAATTTAAAATGTATTAATTTTGAACTTTAACTATAGTTATTTTTGACCTTAAACTTATTAACTTTTTTCTAAGTTAAATTTTGTTATCTCTGAATACCATTATTGTTTTTTATAAGTAATAAACGTATTGTTTTTAAATTAAAGTATTATTAATTTTTATGTTTATTTTGTCATCAATTGTAATTACCAACCCATGGAACAGACTGAAGTCAAGAAAAAGTCAAAATGACTTTATTTGATTTGATAAATATAGTCATGATTTTCCATATACAAGATTATCATCCTGAAGATAGAAATGAAGGATTCTAATTAATTGATTCTCTTATGCATTATGTAAAAGTGCTTCGGCTGTTAAACCGCTTTGGTTCCTATATATTACTACAATAGGATGTTTCTTTACCCGTATGAAGTTAGCCCCCAATATTAAATAAAATTAATTTTCTTTAGTTCATTCGATTGTTCATCGTTTGCATATGTATGCACATTCGGAACTTTCGTTTGCACACTTCTAGTAAAAAAGTTATTAAAAAAACAAATTTGGGGGGATAAGGCAATTTCACACTAACCCTCCAATTACGTGCAAATTAAATCGAAAGTCTTAATCAATAGATTTTAACGTGCGTTGTGTTCTTTGGGAAAAAAATCTATTTCTATATAAAAATCAAAGGAGAATATACGGAAGCGTTACAAGGGGATACGCAATATACGCTCCAGCGTAGGGCGCAAAATTTTAATAGTCTAATTGTCAATTATTTTTGCAGTTTTGCAAAATAATGGAGCCTTTGTCAAGAGGGCGCACAATCAAATTCCAGCGTAGGGGCGCCTAAGACTGTCGTAACTCCTCCGAGGATATAGTATGTTAAAAAAAGTCGACTTCCCGCCGTCTATCGATGAAACCTAAAATTCGTTCCATGGGTATCTACTGGTATCTATGAACTATATAAGTAAAAATATGATGGCCTTTTTTCCTAGAGACCTAGGAAAAGTATTGAAAATCTATCAAAACTCTATTGAAAATATATAGCTTCATTCGATCGATCTGAAGAAAACTAAAGTCGACGACATGGATGAATTTTCAATCAAACCAACTTCTAGTTAAAACTTATCAAATAGTTTTTGAGATCAATAATGTTTTAATATCGAAATCGCAAAATTCAAGATTGCGGATCCAATATGGTGGATCAGTATTGAGAGAAACTATATATGGAACTCGAATTTTAGGTTCCATCGATAGTCGGGAAATGGACCTTTTTAACATCCTCCTTTCTTTGTTATTTGTTATTATAAATTTTAAAAGAATTAACAAACAAAATTCTAATATAATATAAATAATGTTTTTAAAAATCAACTTTTGATTTAACTTCAGTTAATTTAATCTTAATTTATCTTATTAATTTTAACTGAATTAATTTTTTATTCATGCAACTGTTAACTTAACTAAATTAATTTTATATAAACAACTAACTTTATAATTTAACTTACAATTAGTTTTAAAAAATTATTAACTTATCCATCCTTGCGTATATGCTTGCTACCTGGGATATTTTTTAAATATATATATATATATTGTATATATACCAACCAATCCATGTTCTTGGCAGAAACTTATGGCCGCGGAAGCGATGTCATCTTCGTGAAGGTAATAGCAAGATTCTGGTGCATTCAATTGCGACAACTCTTCGATAATGCCTTTAGTATTATGTTTCCATATTTGAAATTCGGGCGATACAATTTTGTCGTTTCTACGTAGGCTTAATTGAATCAATTGCCCGAACACTTCAAAAGTTAATGGAATCTGTACAAATTTTGGATATATGCATATATATATATGTATTAAAAACATATATATATATATATACAATAATACATATGTTAAAAATTTTTTTCTCGATACATATATATAAAATTAGAAGAATTTTTATTTCGCACATAATATACTTCTTAAAAAAAGCAAAATTTCAAGAAATGAGAAAAAAATGTCTTTTAATATAAATATTTGTAAAATAATAAGAAAAATAATTAGAAACAATTAAAAAAATAAAAAAGAATTTAAAAAGAAAAAGTAAAATGTTTTAAGGAAAAACTCTTATATGAATTTATATAAAATTTAATATATGAAACAAAAAATTTCATTTTTTCTAAAAAAAATGTGAAAATTATTTTCTTCAAATAATAAAAAAATATAATTGGAAATAATTATAATAACTTTTGCAAAGTAAAATTTAAAAACGTAAAAAAATTACATATATATATAATTGCAATTTCTTCTCACTTTTATATACGCTTTTCTCACTTATTTATATGTATATATTATATACAGGGTGTCCTGAAATTAAATGTCAAACTTTGGGAGCATGTAGAGGATCGATAAACTAAGAAAAAAAGTCATATATAGATATGCTCGTTTTTGCTTTATTTTCGAGAAAATGACAAAAAAGGGCAAAACATTTTTTACCGAAAACGTAATTATTATGTTTAAATTCCTGCCTTTCTCCTACGATTTAGTCAGTTACTCATAAAAAATCTTCGAGTGAATTATACTGCTTGTTACAATATGCCGTGTTTATATTCTAATATTATATTCTAATGTATATGTATGACAATTTTTATTTATTTTAATTTTTGTTCTTTGTGAAAAATATTTTTTCTAATTATTTTTTATATATTATATATATATATATATATATAATATATATATATATGGATACATTATATATATAATTATTATATAAATATTTTTATGTTTGATTATACTATACATATATGGATTTTTTTCAGTGATTTTGAAAAATAAAAATCACTAGTATCAAATAATAAAAAAATAATAAATTTATACGTACCTCCGATGCACCTTTATTCGAGTTCCATATCGGTAGCAGTATCACCTCGATGTCTCGCGTATTATGGGCGTATACCTCGTTTAATAAAACATGCACTAACACTAATCTTAACACGGAGGATAGCATTCTCTTTACTGTGTGCTACCTCAAGTTCAAGAGTAGTCGAAAAGATATTATAATATCAACAGCTCTTTATATATATTTTTGAATGCATATATTCACACATATATTTGTATTATATAACCCGCATATTCTTTTATTTTTTCCCCGTGTCACCGGATGGTGACTATATTATCATTTCGGAAATTCACGTAAATATTTATGCTGGCACCTGTATTCAAAAATATCCGCGGTCATTGACATTTTGTATATACATATACATATTTTTTATGCTATGTAAAAATATACAGGGTGTTTCTAAATTTAGGTGCGAAAAATTTTAGATGATTCTTTGTCGAAAAAAATTAAGGGGAGTTTTTCATATAAACACTCCTCTAAAAAAAGAGATGAAAATTAGATTATTTTTTTTACTATTGATTTTAACGAAAAAAATAGAAGAAATAAAAAAGTTTGTAGGAAAATCAAACTTTCTAACACATATTTTTAGATAATCGTATTCCGATCTGTTAAAAAGTTCTAATAAAAAATTGAATAGGAATTATTGTTAATTTCATGTCCCCTTTAACAATATGGGAAAATTAAGAAAATATATAATAAAAATATCCTTTATACTAGTGGAAAATATCCACCAAACATTTCTTTAACTTGTCCAAAATTTGAGAAAAAAAATTAAAAACCTAATTTTGATGTAACTCCTTAGAAAAATATAGAAAAACCCTCCTTAAATTTCGACAAAGAATCATCTTCTAAAGTTTTTCGCGCTTAATTTTTTTATATAAAAATTAAGGTTCTATTTAAAAAAATTAGATTGACCTTCAAGCGACCTTAAAAAGTGATCCTAGTTAAAATTCATGGTTATCAATTTTCACCCTTTGAAACCTTTTAACTATGTATTTAACTCGTTCGTACTAGAGGGAGTATTCCCGTTTAAATAAATAAATAAATATTGAACAGTAATTATATATAATATTTGTGATTCATCTATGCAATATAATTTTCGATTTAACTCTCAATGAAAAACAATACTTTATCATTGATGTGTCACAAGCAACAATAATAGTCGCACATTTTGTCTTTAATTGACAATTTGATTTTTCTTAGATTCTACAATTAATCTCCAAAATTTGTCGTTTTATTGTACATATCGATTGAACAATGTACTTCGTTTCACGAAAATTCGCCTTGATAAAGGAAACAGCGATAATTATATTAATAATTACATAGAGAGAGGGACAGAAAGAGAGAGAGAGAGAGAGAGAGAGAGAGAGAGAGAGAGAGAGAGAGAGAGAGAGAAAGAGAGAGAGAAACAGAGTGATATATCGTTTCATTTACAGGGTGTCCCACAGAAAATTGTTAGAACTAATTAGCTGTCATTTTTTACCGCATGCAGTTATTGAACAAAACAAAAAATTGTGTTGAAGAGGAAAGTGTACGGTTTTTAATGGATATAAATAAAATGTATACCAATTTATTTTATTGAAAAAAAGTAATGAAAGTGCTAATAATCACATATATGTATAAACTAGTGATAAATATTTTCAAAATTTCGCGCCATTTAAATTTGTACAAAATTCTGTTCTTTTACGTAAACTCGTAAAAACATTTTCTAACATGTCATTTTTAATGTTATTGATGATCTTTTTAATAGCTGCTATTAAATCTAGCACTGTTAAAAATATTTATTATTAGCACTTTTTCATTACTTTTTATCAATAAAATAAATTGATAATTTTTATTTATATCCATTAAAAACTGTACTTTCATCTTTTTTGTTTTCTCAAATTACATGTATAAAAAAATGACAGCTGATTTCAGCAATTTCTTATGGGACACCTGTACATAACGTGCGTGTTATCCCATAAATAAGAAAACCGCTAGAAAACAGTTAAAATGCGGGAAGGTTGAAATGAAAGAGAAAAATCGTCATACTTTGTTTTACAAATAGTAATAGTATTAAAATATCTCAATAAAAACAATAAATAATAATTGTGATCAATAATAAAATTAATTCATAGAAGTTTCGGCAGTGTGTCTAGCATGCTTGGCAATGCTCGTTATAACTACAAATGTATAATGACATATATAGAGGGGGGGGGGGGATATATATTAAATAATACAATAACTATAATTTCTCACAGTCTAACACGTGTGTGATAACCCCTCCATATATATTTATATATACATATATATGTATAAATATGTATATATAAATAAATAAATAAATATATATATATATATATATATATATATATATATATATCAGGATTATATAGCAACGCAAGAAAGAAGGACCTTTATACATACAATGTCGCATCGCATTTTTAAAGCGTTTCTCGAAGTACTACTACTTGATGTTTATTTATAACGTTTACGTCGATCTTTCGTTTTTGGAGCACCAAAAAAAGATATTGAGCACGAATTCAGCCCAATACGGAGGTGCCTCGCCTGAAACTTTTGCGCCAACCGACTCTCTGCCATAATTCTTTGGATATTCCGTACAATGATGTATATGTATAATATAGATGTGTACCGAAAAAAAATAAAATAAAAAAAACAAATTCACACGTTCAACTTCCCGTTTTAAAATACAATTGGATTTTTCGACTCCTGGCTCGTCGCCGACCATGCTGGAATTGTGACGTTAAGGTGAGAAAAAACGCTAAAAAAATTCTCAGATGCCATTTCAAAATAAATATTTTATATTGATTTCGATGAAAAACTAGCTTTATAATCAATCAATAGCTGTAAAATAACTGTAATATGCCCAGTATGTCATTGATCAATTGTCATTTTAAAAATGTGCTAGTAATCTGAAATAGTGTATATCAAAATACCTTTTCATTAAAAATGGCATCTAAGGATTTTCAGCGTGCGCTTTCTCGCCGCTGACATCACAATCTAACATAGCCGCGGCGAGAATCCAGGACCCTCAAAGGACTATTTTTTTCTTTTTTTTGCGGTCCGTTGTCACAATTCTCTATGAACCACAGTGAACACTTAGGTATACATCTTCCAGAGACGGCGGAAGATATAGCCGCATGTAAAAATTTGCAGCAAATATTTGCTACGAACACACAAAGGTTTTTTGCTGGCTTGTTTTCTTTCTTTCTTTCCTTCCAATGCCACGTGCTCCTTTTTTATCTATCAGTCTACTGTAAAACGCCTGTGATACATATGTGATCGTACATCCAACATACATACATACACACATACATACATACATACATACATACATACATACACACACACACACACACACACACACACACACACACACACACACACACACACACACACACACACACACACACACACACACACACACACACACACACACACACACACACACCACACACAACACACACACACACACACACCACACACACACACACACACACACACACACACACACACACACACGCACGCACACGCACACGCACACGCACACACACGCGCACACGCACACGCGCGCGCGCGACAGGTACATACATACATTATAAATACATTAATGTATATAATCGCTTCTATAACATATTTCTCTAAAGTACCTAACGTGCCCTAATCATGCCATGTATATGCATTTATGTATGTGCGTGTGTGTATGTGTGCATGCGTGAATTTGTGTTATTGTATACAGGCGTAGATTACGAGACATTTTGCATTTTTTTATAGACACGGCATTACCAATCTCGATATAACATTGCGTAATCGTGTTTAAAAAAGATTAAATCGGTGAGATAATAATTATTCGCAAAGCCTTACAAAAGATGTCGATTACTAATAATGATAATAAGTTAAAATGCTACACTTCAGTGAGTAATATTTGATAACGACCTTCTTTCAAAGTCTGTCAATTCTGTCTCCCAATATGCATATTTTAAGGGAATTGCTAATACAATAGCCTTATACACAATTTCAATCCGCATAAACTCGATAAATCCGTCATCTTAATTAGTCTCACAATTATATTCATTGTAATATAAATGTACTTTATGCTAAAAGTGAACCACGAGGATTGTGGTCCATCAAGATTGATTTCGTCCCAGTGATTTTTGTTCCTCTAATCTTTCATCGATCGAATGAAACAAACAAATGATATAATGATACAATGATACATATTTTTTGCATATATTGTACTTCGCGATTAAACACGCTGTTATTATTACTATACAAGAGAAAGAGAGAGCGAGCTATTAATAACAAAACGAGAAATCTAATTAACACAAAAATTTTAAAAGCAAAAAAAAAGAAAACAAAAACCAACGTTTCTCTCATTTCGCACATCTTCGAAGAAGCAACAGAGAGACTTTATTTCATCGATCACACAATTTTCAATTTTCGCCTACAGATGAAGTTAAGGTGATCCTAAACGTCCTTGAGTTTCAGCCCTATTTTATCGATAAAATATGAGGTTAGATTCAGCTATAAATTTATTTATTGGCTATACGGATTGTTTGTATTACCTGAAATTAGAACGCTTCCACACTTGTTAATATTAATACTTTAATTTCTACAAGAAAAAATTTATCAATCTGTAAAAATTAAAGTATTAACCAGTTCACTGGTAATGACTCACATATGGACGAAAAAAGTGCCACATCTGGTAATGACTCATAAATGAGTACTTTGCCAATTTTGAACAAATTTGAATGAAACTTGGTACACCCATGTTTTTGGGATCGTAAACTCTAAAGTTAAACTTTCATATAAAATACGTAATTATTTGCTCTTACCAGTTTTGGCACAAAACGTTGATTTCGGATTCACCAGTGAACTGGTTAATATTAACAAATATAAAAGCGCTCTAATTTCAAATGAAAAACAATCCGTATAGCCAATAAATAGATTTATAGCTGAATATAGCCTCACATTTTGTCGATAAAACAGGACTGAAACTTAGGCTAGCTTAGGATCCCCTTAAGATTGCTCGTCATTCGAGGGCCACTGTCCGGAATGGTTCCAATCCCAATCCTTGCCTTTGGGACGAAACTTACTGGTGCTCGCGGAGTTGTTCCAGTCGCGGTGAAAGAACTTCTTCTTGAAGTGATGCCGCTCCGGGTCTGGCTGTCGTTGATACTTCAAGGGTACCGAGGAGGAGGACGACGACGCGCCGCTTGGAAGACTCCCGCTGGATGGATTCGCGGGACGCGGACTCGTCGGGGACGGAGTCCTCGGCGGTCCTAGCGCCTCGTCGGGCGACGGTGCTATGGGAGGCGGTCCGGTCACCGCGCTATCCGAGCCCAGTCCACTGTCAGGGCTCGTGTTCACCCCCTCCGTCGATCGCCTACGCTTGTCCAGCTCCGTGGAAGCGAACGCGACCAGGCGATCGAAGCCCGAGTTAATGCGATCCTGCCAATCGGCCTCTCCGTCTGCAAAATGAATCCCGATCAGTTGGATTGTAACACGTCAACAAGAAGCGTCGAATGACCTAGGTGTCATCAAATTTACATAAAAATAAGCCAATATCCTGATAGAAATTGTAATTGTTTTTTTATCATTATATAACTTTGTCCTTGACTCATGATAAATTTTGTTATACAAAATGTTATACAAAATTTTATTATACAAAAATATATCCTACAAGATAAACGTTACCTAAAGATCAAAAGTTTGTATCTATATATACATTACTTATTAGTAAGCAATATACAACATGAATGTGCGTATACTATATAAAGATTTGTAGAATGTACCGGAAAAAAAAAAAAAAAAAAAAAAAAAAGAGAGAGAGAGAGAGAGAGAGAGAGAGAGAGAGATTGACCTTGAAAATGTCCTTGAATTAAAATTCAAGATTATCAATTTTCTTTCCCTCTCCAAATTTTTAAAAATGTTTCTTCTGTGAAGTATAAATGCGCGAATACAGATATGCAATAAATGTATTAGTTGTACTAATTGCTTAACAAATTGAGATAGTTGTATATATTGAAAGTTGAACACGATACTAAAGCATAAGATAAATAGAAATATTTCAAAATCTTCGCATGCAATGTGAGGCTTTACATCTTTACATGCACTAAGAGTAACAGTCCATTAGATTAAAATATTCTTGTTCAAAAACTGTAACTTTCAACATGCGTTTGTGTACACATGAATTTATCCGTGAAGTCCAAATTTGTATCTTCTGGCTTATTTTCATGGAAATTGATTTCTAAATAGTCATTTGCCTTTTGTGTCTGTTCCAAATGGAAAGAATATAAATTCACTGACTCTCTCTCTCTGTACGCACGTATAAGGCAAGGAGAGAAGCTAAATAAATATAAACTGTTACATGTACAGGGTGTCCCAATTCTACAATTGGAAATAAGAAAAAAATGTTATATGAAGTTTGACTAAAAATGCTTTATTACAAAGTTTCAATTCAAAAACCCTGCACTAATCCTATATAAAATTAGATCTTGATAAGTTTTCTTATATACATACCTGTATTGTAATTTACAACTCGCTGAACAAAAAATATAATAGGCTCATAAGTTACAACATATAAAAAACATTTAACCAAATCCAATTCACATAGAATTAGTACGGAATTTTTGCACTGCACAAGTTTTATTTTACATCAAATCAAGCTTGTAATTATCGATATTTTGAAATACGTTACTAAATTGTTTCATTGGATGAAAAATTGTTGCCTATTTCATATTCTACTTCAATATTTGTTCAGAACTTTGTAATAAAGCATTTTTAGCCAAACTTCATGTAATATTTTTTTCTTATTTCCACTTATAGTACATACTTTCGCAATTTGTCGGTAAAATCCTGGGACACCTTGTATACAGGATGTCTGAGACCACCCTATTTTGAAAACTGAGCGCAACAGATAAAAATGTTTTTAAACAAAAGTTGTAGGGCTTTAACAAATACAGGAGATGGTGATACATATTTGACTTTGACAGCAGTTATAAAAGAAGTCTCAATGTCAACTATTTTAAAAAGCAGTTTCCATTTTAAATACGTGTCAAAGTCAATGGAGGCATTTTCAGAAAAAAATGTTTCAGACAAAAGTTGTTCCAATTAATTGGTAGAAGATATTATAAAAATGGGTGTTTCCATTTCAGATTTTAAAGTTGACCTTGAGACGTTGATCTTTCATAATTGCTGTCAAGGTCAAATATGTATCACCATTTTATGTATTTATTAAAATCCTACAACTTTTGTCTATAACATTTTTATCTGTTGCGCTCAGTTTTCCAAATATTCGGCATTTACGGGTGGTCTCAGATACCCTATATATGTATAATTATAGAGATATAATTAAGTTATTTCGAATAGAACAAAATGAACTTTGACCACCGTGGGACAACTCACCGGCGTATAACGTACCGACGAACCAACCCACAGGCAGCCGTATTTTTTTCATTTCTCCCTTCTCTGCGATCTGTGCGTGTGTCTCAATCTCTAATAAAACAAGCCTCAGGGATTTTGAGATTGAGTATGCGAGACAGAGAGAACTAACCGATAAACAGCTACAGTGCATCTAACAAATACAGCAAACAACAAAACAAAAATAATATAAATAAAAGTCAAAAGTCACCAGCTCCATAAAAGATAAAAGCTAAACCATTAGTGCAAAATGTGTAAATACGTGGAGAGATGCATAGGGAACAAAAATTAATATATCATAGTATCTAGAAAATATAGCACATAATAAAATTTTATATATTTCATCAATAAAGTGTCATATACCATTCTACGTTTCTTATGTATAGCTGATAAGAATAATAAGATAGTGAAAGAACAGTTGTACATCCTTGCAGCTAAGAAAACTGTAAGAAGAGACATATTCTCTCTAATCAGATCAAATTGACAATTACAATATTACAATATACAAAGTGTTCCATTTTAATTAATACAGTTGAATTGTCGATACTATACGAGAAAATATTTAATACAAAAATAAAATATGTAGCTGCTAGTAGCAAATTAATGTTTTCTTTACACCAATTGATTCCTCTCATTATTTTGTATATAAAAATATTTCAAGTAAGAACATTTTACGAAATGTTTCATATACGGAGAAAATTTTCTCTTAGAATTTACCCTGAAAATCATGATAATCGTGGGATAATATGATGTTAGAAGAATTTATGAGTTTCTCTGATTATATGTATTTACCACAATAAAAAATATTAATATGTACATAGTAAATTTTACTATGTATATTACATAGTAAACTATGTAATATATATGTATATTACATATAGTAAAATTTTACTATGTGTATTACATAGTATTATAAAATTAATCGAGTATATTTTATATCTTATTATGGTAGATATTAATATTTTTATTGTAGTAAATATTAATTAGAAAAACTTATAAAATTCTTCCAATATCATATTGTCGCACGATTACTATGATTTTCAGGGTAAATTTTAAGAGAAAATTCTCTCTGTGTAGCTTATGTAAAATTCTATCACATAAAGTACAAAGTATCTCGTAAACTATTCACTTTTTTACTATCCTACTCTTGTAATTTTTTATGCTAAATATTATGAGGAATCGAGTTATATAAAAAAATAGGTTAACCTTCAAACGAATTTGAAAGATGACCTTGAAAAATTTTTATCTTTTGAAATATTTTCTTGTTACAAGCCATAATT